CTATTAAACTTGCACTTTTGATCTCTTATTTTGTTACCTTGGGATTATCCAGAGTTTGTTATAGAACTTCTTGTTGATCTTACTGTGTTGTGTTATTCTTGAACTTATAGTTTTGTTGACTTTCCAGGTTCGAGGTGCCTTAGAAACTCTTCTTGGCGCTCTAACGCCAATCGATCATGCAAGGGCACAAAAGACTGAAGTCCATGCAGCTCTCATGAACTCCGACTTGCTCTCCCGCGAAGCTGAGAATATCACTCTTCTTTTGAGTTTGCTGGTTAGAGTTTACTCTATATTTTCGAAGTAGGAAAATATTTTTGTTTTGTTCATTTTATATGTGTGCATCATATGGTTTGTTTTCCTGGGGGTATGACAGGAGGAAGAAGACTTCTATGTCAGATATTACACACTTCAGATTTTGACTGCTCTACTTATGAATTCACAAAACAGGTATATTTCTTAGGATGTACTATCTGTGTGTTATTTTCTCTCTATATGCTATAGAGACTTTTGCTGACTGTCTCGTCAGGTTGCAAGAAGCTATTTTGACGACTCCTCGCGGTATAACTCGACTCATGGATATGCTAATGGATAGAGAGGTAAACAGTTACTCTATATCTTGGATATGTATGATTTCGCTATTAATTTGCTTAAGAGTCTGATCGCATTAACCTTCTGTCAACCTCAAGTAGGAGTTTATGAGGCGGTGAACTCTGGAAGGGATGGATATTGTATTTGTGAACTTAATCTTTTGGTGTGTTCCTTACAGGTAATCCGGAACGAGGCGTTGTTGCTTCTTACACACTTGACGCGTGAAGCAGAGGTGAGACTTCCTGGTTATATATGTAGTTGTCCTTTTCTTCTGCCTTGAGCTGAGGGCAGCCATTGATTAATTGATCGACCATACACTTGTAGGAGATCCAAAAAATTGTTGTCTTTGAAGGTGCATTTGAAAAGATTTTTAGCATCATTAAGGAGGAAGGGGGCTCAGATGGCGATGTGGTTGTGCAGGTGACAAATAGCTCTTATTAAAAATTTTGTAGCATCTGTTCTGTTAAAAATTTGGCATTTTAAAAGGAAAATTGAAGTAGCCACTTCACCAACTTTAGAACTAAACATTATTGGCACTTACATTTCCCATATGTTGTCTTCCTGAATTTCTTTGCAAGCACTTTCAGCATGCTTTGGGGATTGCCTGCTTATGCTTGACTTTGAGTTCCTTGCCCATGTACTTGCCCTAATTTTGTTCTTTATTTACAGGACTGTCTGGAGTTGTTGAACAATCTTCTCCGCAGCAGTTCATCAAACCAGGTTTTATAGCTTGGTTTCTGGTGTTGATTTTTCTGATTAATTTACTAGATCAAAACACAGGCTGATATATGAACTTGTACAGATATTACTAAGGGAGACCATGGGTTTTGAACCGATCATTTCAATTCTAAAACTGCGAGGAATTACGTATAAGTTCACCCAGCAAAAGGTTAGATCTTAGAGTGCTTCTCCCATTTTAGATTTATTTTACCAGCTTGTGCAATTTTGTTAATCTTTGTCCTTCTGAATGAACGAAATCCCAGTAGACTGTTAATCTACTTAGTGCACTGGAGACAATCAATATGCTGATCATGGGAGGTGTAGACACGGACCCTGGAAGAGATTCAAACAAGCTGGCAAATAGAACAGTTTTAGTTCAGGTTTGTTATGATGTTCAAATGTTGTGAATTCTCTTGTACCAGATCACACATGTTACTTATCCTTGCTTTTTATATCCAACAACAGAAAAAACTGCTAGACCACCTACTGATGTTGGGTGTTGAAAGCCAATGGGCACCTGTTGCTGTTCGCTGCATGGTATGCAAATCTTCTTTAGTCAAATTATTATCCTTTAGTCCCTTCCCTTTTTTGTTATCATTCATATTTCATTGTATATCAAAATTAAAGATTTGTGCAACTGCCTATAAGTTAGAATAGTTTCATTTTTAACTATTGAACCTTGTTCTAGGTTGACCATGGAACTGATATGCTTACAGTGATCTATTGGCAGTTTTTTCCTAAAGATTGTCTGAAGTCCAAGTCATTTATTGATGTTTCGTTTCTATGTGTCTTTTATTTTGTGACTCTTTGCTGCTAGACATTTAAATGCATTGGAGATCTAATTGATGGACATCCCAAGAACCGTGATATTCTTGCTAGCAAAGTTCTTGGTGAAGATCGGCAAGTAGAACCTGCACTCAATTCTATACTTCGGATCATTTTACGGACGTCCAGTATTCAAGAGTTTGCTGCAGCTGATTACGTTTTTAAGACGTTCTGTGAGGTTTGGAATTTTTTTGTCATTTATTTTTAGTTCATTGTTTAATGTGAGATTGCATACTGATATAGCATGTGATTGCATCTTTATCAAGAATCTCATTCACTAAACGTTTTCAGAAAAATCCCGAGGGTCAAACAATGCTAGCTTCAACTTTAATACCCCAACCACATCCCACAGCCCGAGATCCCCTAGAAGATGATGTTCACATGTCATTTGGAAGGTGTAATCTTCTTTTCTTCTGCATCTTTTGTAGTGTTGTTTTGAAGGAATCTCACTCTTCATTCTCATTGCGAGTTTGCATGGTCCTTCAATTTTGAGCTACTTCTCGTGTATTAAAACTTATCCAACTTTTATCTATGTGTCAGCATGTTGTTACGAGGCCTTTGTTCGGGTGAAGCTGATGGTGATCTTGAGGTAAAATTGTTTCTCCCTGTTGGCTCTTAATTTTTAAAGCATTCCGGAACTTAGATCTATTTATTCTTTAAAAACAGACGTGTTGCAGAGCTGCGAGCATTCTTTCTCATGTTGTTAAGGACAACCATCGGTGCAAGGAAAAGGTAGTGAAGTCATCACTTTAACCTTACGTTCTGTCAGTATTTTTTTGTCCCTGCATTTGGCTGACTTTTTGAAATACTCAATAGGCTTTGAAAATCGTACTTGAGTTACCTATGCCATCCATGGGAACTCCGGAGCCACTCTTTCAGAGGATTGTCAGATACCTGGCCGTTGCTTCTTCCATGAAAAGCAAAGATAAATCAAGCACACTGGGAAAATCATATATTCAACAGATCATTTTAAAACTCCTTGTGACATGGACTGTTGAATGCCCGGCTGCAGTTCAGTGCTTTTTAGATTCACGCCACCACCTAACGTTTTTGCTCGAGCTGGTAACAGACCCAGCTGCAACAGTTTGCATAAGGGGATTGGCGTCTATTCTATTGGGAGCATGCGTCATTTACAATAAATCAATTGAGAATGGTAAAGATGCTTTTGCTGTAGTTGATGCTGTGGGCCAGAAGATAGGGCTTACATCATACTTCTCGAAGTTTGAAGAGATGCAGAACAGCTTCATCTTCTCTCCCTCCAAGAAACCTCCCCAGGGTAATAAACCGTTGACAAGAACAGCCACGCCTAGTGAAGCCGAGATTAATGAGGTGGATGAGGCAGATGAGATGGTTAAAGGGAATGAAGATCACCCAATGCTCTTGTCTTTGTTTGATGCTAGTTTCATAGGCTTAGTGAAGAGCCTGGAAGGTAACATCAGAGAGAGAATCGTGGAATTGTATAGTCGGCCAAAAAAAAGTGAGATGGCTGTAGTACCAGCAGATTTGGAGCAGAAAAGCGGAGAAAATGAGAAAGACTACATCAACCGCTTGAAAGCTTTTATAGAGAAACAGTGCTCGGAGATTCAGGTATGTGCCTGTTCTCAACAGTCTACTACTGACTTAAGCATATCTGAAAAAAATACCATTTTTGGTGTTTGATTGCAATTAAAATAAGAAAAATCTTGAGAATAGATGAGAAGTTAAGGGTGTTCTGCCAATATTTGGGATTAGGAAGCATTGCTTTTTGCTAAATTGGAATATAGGAAGCGTCAAGTTTCTGCTAACATGGGATTATGAAGAATTGGGTCTTTAAACAGTATTCATACTATAGGTCTTTGAATATTTGTGATAAATATATGTTGAGGTTAACTGATAAAAAGAGATCTCAACATCAGTTGTGCCTGACAGAGCTTCTTGTTGTTGTGAACTCTGTGTTTTCCAGAACCTTCTTGCTCGAAACGCTGCTTTAGCTGAAGACGTAGCCAATTCTGGCAGGAATGAGCAATCTCAAGGATCAGAGCAAAGAACAAGTACAGTAATGGACAAAGTTCAGATGGAAAGCATCAGACGAGAACTCCAAGAAACTTCTCAGCGTTTAGAGACAGTTAAAGCAGAAAAAGCCAAGATTGAGTCTGAGGCATCAAGTTACAAGAACATGGCTGCGAAACTTGAGTCAGACCTGAAAAGCCTATCAGACGCATACAACAGTCTGGAACAGGCAAATTACCATCTTGAACAGGAAGTGAAATCGTTGAAAGGAGGAGATCCCATGGAGGTTCCTGATATAGAAGCCATAAAGGAAGAGGTGAGAAAAGAAGCTCAAAAAGAGAGCGAAGACGAACTAAACGACCTGTTAGTATGTTTGGGTCAAGAGGAGAGCAAAGTCGAGAAGCTAAGCGCAAGGCTGATAGAATTAGGAGTCGACGTTGATAAGCTTTTAGAGGATATTGGGGACGAATCAGAAGCTCAAGCGGAATCTGAAGAAGACTGACCATTGAACAAGTTGTAGAGATTTAAGTCCCTCTAAAATGCTCTCTCATCAGGCAATGGAACTTGTACAGTCTTGGGTGGTTTTATTTCCATGTTTAACAATTATCGTTGCTTAATCTTCTTAGTTATAACTTTTTTTAATTTATCATCAACTTTCCAACTTCTTAGATTGCTTCAACATTAAACATTGTCTTACGTTTGCAGATTCATAAATTGAAACCATTACTATGATTGTAACTTGCAGCTGTTGTAACAATCAAATTCACTATTCAGTTCAATTAGTTGTGTTTCCTTTAAACATTCATGATTTATAGAGATTCGCATTAGATACATATTAAACTGACCTGAACCCAATAACCAATCCAACAGCCAGACCATAACCATATCTTAATGGATTCACATCTTTCTATATCTAAACCCCAAACCTGAAACAAATCAAAGCTTTTTTTTTTTTGTGAAAATTAAGGCTATAAAAAACTGATTAAAAATCCAAAAACCGAAACACTAATTAAGCCTAACACAGAAAAAAAAAAAAACCACTCTACAATTGCAACACAACACACTAAAGATGATTAATTTTTAAAGGGGTTTATATTAATCAGCACAAAGCGACGTCATTAGATCCGTTGGTGAGCTCCATATGGGAAGATCAAAGAAGGACTGCTTCTTCTCTTCTTCTTCAATTCTACATATGTTCTCTGCAACTTCACACATCTTCAATACGTCATTAATCACCGCTTCTTGTGCTTCCGCCTACCAATTTTTCAAATTTTCAAAATTTTATCCAATTGAGTAAAAAAACAAAAGAAAAAACCCTAATTACCATAAAAAGAAGTCCGTCGAGCATAGAAGACGGCGCAGAAGCATCTCCTCCACCAAATTCTCGAGCTCCTTCTACAGAACAAGACTCAGGATACGACGTCGTTGCGTTCGCATTTAACCTCTCTTCTCGTTGCGTCGTTTGAAATCGATCTGCTTTCTCTTTTATTGCATTCAAACTGTTCGACAGAATCTCCCACTGGTCGATCTCACTCCGGTACTTCCTTTTGAGCTTCACTAGTATCCTCTTCTTCCGTATCTTTCGATTCCTCTCCTCTACCACCGGATCTAACTCCGGATCCGGCGGTTTCGAAGTTTCTTCGGCGGCGTCGGAGATACGGCTTCGCTTATGTCGTTTGTAAACGAAGCCATCGTCGTTGAAAAGTTCCCACTCTTCGTCTTCTTCTATGCCACTCGCTGACGGCGGAATTGGTGGTTCCATTCGCCGTATAGATGCGGTGGAGCGGGAAAATTTCAGAGTAGCGAGTTTCAGAAAAAGTGAGTGAATGACTTCGACTTTTTTTTTGGATCTCGAAATTGAAAAGATTTTACAGATTAGCTTCAAATTGGCAAATCTCAACAAAATAGTTATGGGCCGAGATATATATATATATATAGGCCCATAAGAGAATATAAAATATGTAATTTAGTTTTCAATTATTTTCCTTCTCTAGTTTTACATTTTCGATTTAAAAAAAAAAAAAAAAATCACGTGGCTCCTTAAAATAAGTGTGAACGTGAACATAAGTTTGGGATTTTTTTTTTATAACATACTTTTGGGAATTTATGTTCGGAAAATAACATATGATGTTCTATCCTTCACATAAAACTGAAAACACACTACTGAAAATTTAAACATCACCGGGTGAAAACGGGTCATACACTTGATGGACACTAGAGTTGAACCGGTGGCGAACTTGTGGCTGGCCGCGTGGTGGTAACTGGTTATCATGATGAAAGACTGGTCTTGGAGGGAAATGAGTAGGATGCTGCGGGAATGGAGCTCCAGGGAAGTTCCTTGGCATCATCTGAGACAATGGAGGTCCAAAGTTCTGCAAGTTGGGAGATCTCGTGTTACCATGAAACGGCGTAGATTGGTGGCTCAAGGGTTGATCCATCTGCCTGTCGAAGTGCTGTAATCTTGTGTAATTTTGCCCAAAATGTCGAGAGGTTAGAGCGGCGGATGGGGTTTGAAATGCCAGATGAGGGAGATGAGCTGATTGAGAGTTGGGTCTAGGAAATATCTGTGGTGTGGAAACAACGTTTGGTTGTTGTGGTGGGAAACCAAAATCCCCGCCAAATGGCTTACGAGCTGTATCTACGGGAGGATTTAGGGGAGGATACGTAGGAACAAGACCAGCAGGCCTGCCAGCAATATGTGTTGACACTGACATAGGACGCAGAGAACCACCAGAACCATATTCTGCTAGATGTTTCAGATTCATACTTGTGGGAAAGGGAATTGATGGTAGTTCTGTACCTTGCTGATGAGCTACCGGATGTGGACTAAAGTTAGGATCCCGAGGCTGTACTGATTGGGCCATGTTGCTTGAGACTATGTCTGGCAAAGAAGTTGGTCTATGTACAGGTTGGAAAGTGAATAGGGTTGATGGCCTCATAGTAGAATGTGGTCCAATCGGTTGTATCTGACTACCAGCATATGGAGGCGCAGTCACAGAATATGCCCTTGGTGTGTTGGAAAGGTTAAAAGCGAACGAATCTGGTGGTCGAGGCATGTGGGAACCAGGAGGTAATGATGTGTCATGAGGAACTGGATATGATTGTTGAGCAGAAAGAGGATTAAGGTTCATAGAATTTGTTGGCAATTCTTGCTCCTGGATACTATAACCATGACCTGAAGCAGAGGGTTTAAGAGGTGGATGAAATGGAGCTTGATTTGAAGCCCAAGGAAATGAATAACCATGCTGTTGGAGTTGGCTTTCAGGAGGTTGTAAAGAGCTATCAGTTGGCTGTTCGGAAGTCAGGGATGTAAATGCCAAGTTGCTGCTGCCTGGAGTAGTTGAAATATCTTCAGATCTGGAAGATGAAGGAGCAGCACCAGCTCCTGTATTTCCCTACAAGGGGAAATGATATACTGTTGAGTATCATTTGATTGAGACTTTAAATAACAGATGCTATATCATACTTCTAACTCTCTTATAGAAGATTTAGGAACTCACAGAAACTGAAGACATAAGTAGCTCAATTACAGCAATTGCTGCATCCACTTTTTCGTAAGTGTCAGATGATATCTGAAAATATAACGTTTGCCAAGGCGTCTGGATCTCACTTTCATGTGAAGGAGAGAGTTCAATCTGCACGAAGGAAACTTTGATTCATATAAATTCGCAATAAGAATTTTGAGGAGTTTTAGGGACCAACATGGAGAAGCAGAACAATAACGATACACTATTATGGTTAACTCGATGATAGTGTATTCCAATATTTACCTTCTCTCCTTCTGTTTTAGTACCAAAAATTTGTACTTTGGCTCCCGTCCTCTGTTTCCATAATGAAAAAAATTAGCTCGTATGCAGAGTAAAAATGGAATGATAACAGTAAGAAAGAAATGCTAGAGAAAAAGACACAGAAGGATGTTTACTCAAGGCATGTAAGGAACTGTAGTTGTGAATAGCAGCAATGACGTTCGTAGGTGACTTACTTTTTCGAGCTGCTTTAGAGTATCACCTTGGGAACCAAATATGATACTTAGAAACCTGAAAACAGAATGTTCTTTAACCTGCAAAGCATAAGTCCATACAATATAAGCTGTGAAAAGCTGATTATCACATAACTTAGAAAGCGGAATCAAAAGGATGTTGTACATGTTTAAACAGCTTGATATATAAAACCCTCAACTGGTACAAAAAAATGGTGAAACAGTAGATAAAGGTCATCAAAAGGATTCATACTTAGATTTCACTTTTGACATGGACTTAACAGGACTAGATTGAGAGAAGAGAAACATACTCCGAAATAAGACATATCCTTTCTTTGAACTCAATACATTCTCAATACTCTCCCAAAATACGACTCGAGCCATCTCTCAGACAAATGTACAAGACTTTCAAGATTAGGTGAGATAGTAAGATAACACTTCACATGAGAGAAAAAATGCATGATTTGATAATGGTTTAACCCTCTAACCAAGCAAGAACTTACATCGATCGGCAATTTAGCTTCTTTTAGCAATGGCTTATAATCACGTGGAGCCTTGTACCTCGGGTTCAGCTCGAGTATCTCCCCTATAAGTAAAGAAACTATATATTACTTGAGGGAAAGCGAATGTCCAGATGGAATGAGGAAAATTTACCGATACATACCGATTGCTTCGCGCTTCTCAAACTCCAGCTGTTCAGCAGTATTGGTCTATGAACATATAGAGGACAGATGAGTTTACATTGCTAAAAAATCATATAATTGAGATGAAAAAAGGTACTGAAAACTACTTACATCATCGTTGTTCTGTGAAGCTAAAGCTGATTCTCTATTAGTCTCCACTTCAAGAGTTCCCGATGCCAGTTGCTGTGTAATTTGATCCAGGCGTTTCTGCTCAAAATTGGTCACCAAACATACAGTTTATCACATAGTGGTACCTGACAGGATTTTTCCATTTGATAATTAATATAGCACTACGTTGTAAAAGGATATCTATTACGCTTAACATACTCGATCAAGTAACATTTCAATTGCAAAACCTCTGAATACTTCACGACTTCAAAAGCACCCAATTTTATTCAAACATTAAACCATTCCTAGCGAAATGTTCAAATTCCAATCCTTAATCTCCAAATCAACGACATAAAAGCTACCATATCTTTATATATAGTGTTCTACTCTCTACTCATATATCATATTCCAATGCTTAATCTCCAAATCAATCAATTGATTATCAAATACACATAAAGCTAACTTGTCATTTAATAAGAAACTGTTCACAATATAGCATCTAAGTAACAGTCAGCTGTACACATTAACATTTCATTCAACTTCAAAACCTTAAAAGATCAAACCCAAATTTTTATACCTGATAAGCTAAAACTCGACCTTTCTTGACCCCAACATCTTGTGACAAATCAGGACCCCATTTAGTCTTTCTCTTCCCCAGATTCGAGTGAAGTCCATTATCCTTATCGGCACCTTCTAGGGTTTTATTAGCGCCACGTTGAAAAACCGGTATCAATGATCCAGATAACTTGTTCTTAGGGATAACAAATCCAGACTTGGCACCAAACATTGAGATCTTCGCACCGCTTGTAGAAGTCATCTCCTGAGAATCACCTCGTCGAATTAAGGGTAGCATACAACACACAAAAGCCCGAATCTTGAATTCAACAAAACCCACAAAACCAATTTCAACAAAACTCACAAATTGAAACGAAAATAAAACCCACAAAAATCTGTAGATGATGAAAAGTCTGAAACTTGAATCGGCAAAAATGGTGGCGATTGTTGAAGCTAGGCAGCGTAAGAGGAGTCGGAAGAAAGGTCGCTCGGAGTAGAAGCTGGGATTCGCCGGAGCTTCGTCGGATCTCTTTAGGTCTTTACCAATCAACAATACTCTGAACTCTTTGCAAATGTGTTTTTTTTCTTCTCTAGCTACAAACCCTAAACGCTGTCGTTTCGCTTAAGAAATTCAGAGAAAACAAAAAAAAACAATTATATACGCTTGTTTACGTAATTTAATAACGAGAAATACGTCAAATAGCACTGAATTATATCACACACTCCATAAAATAGCATAATTATACTATTTTAAATTTTTTTAAGAATTATTTTTTTTAATGTTAAGGTTGAAGATTGTATATTTAAAATATGTTTTTAAGGGCTAAGGTTTAATATTTATAGTTTAAAAATTAATTTTGAAAGTTTAATCATGAAATATAGTGTTATTTTTGGAACTTTGTGGAATATATGCTAGATTTGGAAACAAACTTAATTTGATGCTATTAATGAAAATTACCCCTATCTAGTCTATTTAGTTAAAAGACCAATCAAGTTTACTTGGATTTAAAAGTGTTCGAGAATTAACTGACATATTAAGTCAACGTCAATTAGTCTTCTGTTCTGTTTTAAAAGACGAGAGAAACAATGGGAGAGAGATTACGATCCAAACTATTGTGGAGTCGATTCACTCATCTTCAACGCAAGCCGTTGTGTATGTAACTGGTGGTGCCTCTCAGGTATTTTTGTCTTTGTTTTTTCTATCTCTTTGTATCTATAAGATTGTATGTGATCTCTTGCGTGCTTTGACTTTGAGTGATCAAACTACTAATTCTCAGGCTTTAGGTTGGTTAATGTCAGTTCCAGGAGCTTCTAACACACTTCTTGAAGCTGTGGTTCCATATGCCATGATTTCTATGGTTCAATTACTTGGCAGGGTTTGTTTTTCAAAACCTTAAATAATGGCAAAATCGTGTATGGTTCCATTCGGCTATGAGCATGTTTTAATCGTTATCTCAGGTTCCGAGCCAACACTGTAACCAAGCAATGGCGAATAAGATGGCTTTGTTAGCCTATAATCGCGCTCTTAAGCTTTCTAAACCAGGTTTACTTTATTTAATCTCTGTCTTCAACATAGTTCTTGCTTGTCATCAAGAAATAGAAATCTCGGATTGGTCTAACTTGCTACTATATATGGTGGATAGGGTATCCTGTTCTTGGTGTTGGTTTAACGGGAGCATTGGCAAGTTCTCGTCCAAAGCGTGGTGATCACAGGTTACTCCTTTTTTTTGTTTGTTTATATAACAGGGGATCTATAGTTTCACTATATCCTTATCCCAAGCTAGATGATATTTCGTCAATCAAACTGTTCATTATCTATTGGTTTTGAATTGGAAGCCAATAAAATTTAACATTATGTTTTCTATTACTTTTTGTTTTCTGTGTCTAGATTCTTTTTGTCCATCAGAGCATCTGACCGGAGCTTGGAAATTTCAGTCACTTTAACAAAGGTGATTTGCAACATTCTTTCTCGTGTCTTGGTTCACTCTTATATATATATCATCAACTACGTACTTATGTGTTTCTTATCTGATTGTGGAGAATTTTAGAACCTTCGAAGCAGAGAGGAAGAAGATAAAGTGTCAAGTTGTGTACTGATCCAGGTGTTGTATAAACCTCCCATTACCTTCTTTTAGAAAAGCATTGTACTTTGAGGTACTCATCACGGACTGAGTTCTTAAAACATTTTGTGGTCATTATAATCTTAGGCTATGGCCAAGGCATGCAAAGTTTTTGGGACACTTGACTGTGGCTTGACCAAGTCTGATGTGCTTGATGAGTCTGAAACTCGGTTTAGTGAAGAGCAAGAACTAGAGCAGTTTATAGCAGGACAACTGTGCTCTAAGATTTATCCATTTTCTAAGGGTAAGATTTTGGTCACTTGACTTGTTATTATTACTTTAGTTTTTTTTTTTGTTGCTATTAATGATGTAGTTCTCTATCTTTATTGTAGAAACATACGGGTTGGATCAAGATAGAAAGATTATACAGTCTGGTTCTTTTAACCCATTACATTCTCAAGCTGATGGCAGCTGCAAAGAGGTAAGCGAGTATGTCTCTATCGACTATCGTTATGTTGTACGAGTGCCTGATTCTTGTTTAGGTGAACATGTTTAAAAGAAATGCTAATCATACAAATGCCTGATTCTTCTGCTGCTGTTGCTTGCTCAAAAGAGAGTTCTTCTTGCAACACCTTCCTTGTAATGCATAGCTGCTGAAACTTAGCATCCGAGAATACCATATGATGAGTAATTTCCATCAGGTAGTCATAATCTGAGTTTGGCTTATGTGCGCATATAGGATTGCTGCAATCCCTCTCTCCTTATAAATCTTTTCAGTCTCATCTTTGGTGAAATCGTGTGGAATGAACTTACCTTTCCTAACTAAACGAATTACTTTCAGTTGGTTTTGCGAGTTTCCGCAGCTGCACAGCAGACAGAGTTTTAAACTTAAACACATTAAACATTGCCTCAATCATATATATATATATAGATAAGAAATTTTAGATTTTTGTAAACCTTTGTCTCGGTAGATTCTTGATTTGGATTTTATCTTCTTCATCCTCTCTTCTGCTTCCGATGTCACCACGTCGTTGGCAGCCATGGTAGGGGAACAATCTGAGAAATTGTAGATTCTCACGCAAGGAAGAAAAAGAGGAAAATTAGGTAGGGTTTGTGACAGGCCTCGAAAGGCCCCTTTTTATATAAAAAAAAGAACTGGAATTGGGCCTCAGAGGCCTACTCCTCCAGAAGTTACAAAACAAAGTTTTAATTAAAAAGGTATATGAAATCTCTAATTTTTTGGGCCTATTTAATATAACAAGCCCAGACTAATTTTTACTAATCCCTAATAATTGTGCCCGATTTTTACACTTCCCGATTTGAGAATTTCTACTGGTTTCGATTGTTTTTAGTGTTTGAATTTTGTAGTTGAGTAATCAAACCGCGTGGTTATATTTTACTAGTTTGATCGGAAGATCTCTTATCGTGAGTTGTCATGGCTTCGACTTATTCCTTAGTGATCTGGATTGATACAACAAAATTAATACAGATTTGTCAACGTCAATATTAAAGTATATTATCATGTTGCAAGCAGCATTATTGATGTAGTTAGATCGAGTATATAGAAGAAAGACTATATTGATCGATGATCCATCATAATACAAAACCAAAGTGCTATTACTCAAACATATATTAGCATTCTCTCAAACTCCTCTTTCCGCAACCGCCATGAGCTATATGTTAGAAGGACACGCGCATCGAGGATCCCTCATTAACTCTGCTGCTCGTTTTGAATGCGATGTTTGCGATCGATCGTATGGTTTTGGCTACTCATGCGACCAATGCAAGTTTATTATTCATTTGGAATGTGCATTTGTGTTCAACGCAAAGGAAATATGGGATCACCCTTCTCATGAAGGACATTGTCTTAAGCTTCTCACAACTGGAGCTCCTGATCACACCGACCCAAAATGCCATCTCAGCGGTAAAAAAATCAGGCACCTTCTTTATCATTGTTCTGTTTGTGAACTCAATTTGGACGTAATTGATGCCCTGTGTGCCCGTGCTCACCTTAACATGCCGTGGCACCCCCATCCTCTACTCATTGTTGATATTACTTCTAGAATGACATGTAACATTTGTAGAAATGGTGGAAAACAAGGCTATTTATGCCCTCGTTGCAGGTTGGTGGTTCATGAGAGTTGTGTTTCCCAATTTGTCTCACAAGATATTACTCACCCTTCTCATGTTAGACACCCTCTTAAGCCTATCACCGACGGAGCTCTAGGTTACTCAGACGGAAGTTGTCATCTATGTGGAGAGGATGCTGGGAATTTACTTTATCATTGTGATATTTGTATATTCAACTTGGATTTGGAATGCGCAATCAATAAACCCCCACCAGTCTCCCTTTCAAATATGAAGGTCCATGAGCATCATACACTCACACTCATGCCAAGATTGATCTCCTATGTTTGTGATGCTTGTGGGACGATAGGTGATCGTTCTCCTTATGTCTGTGTTGAATGTGATTTCATGATATTCCATCAACTGTGTGCTCAACTACCACGTGTTATTCATGTCAATCACCATGACCACCGTGTCACATACAAGTACCCTCTTGGTTCTGGACCTGGAGAATGGACTTGTGGAGTTTGTTGGAAAGAAATCATTTGGTCATATGGGGCTTATTCTTGTTCCATTTGTCCTCGTTATGCTATTCATTCGCTATGTGCAACAAGGAAAGACGTGTGGGATGGGAAAGAACTTGATGGAATAGCTGAAGAAGTTGAAGATATCGAGCCATTTAAGAGGAATAATGACGACAACACAATCACTCATTTCGCTCATGAACATAACCTCTTAAGCCTCAGCAAAGGCGATGAAGAAAGCAGCTTGTGTGGAGCTTGTGTTCGTCCCATCGGTTCTTCCACATTCTACAAGTGTTCAGAATCAGATTGCAGTTTCATTCTCCACGAAGCATGTGCTGATCTTCCTAAGAAGAAACGGCATTTTCTGAGCCCAGAGCCTATGGATCTTCGCCTCCAAAGCAAAAGCCACTTAAAATCTTGTGGAGCTTGTCACCTACCTATTTGCAATGGATTCATCTACTCTAATTTTGACTTACTATGCACTTCGATTGCTTTTCCTTTTATCCATGGGAGTCATGATCATCATTTACTATACCTCGAACTACAATACGGTGCTGTGAAGACTTGCCAGAGCTGCGGCACTGATGAAGATAAAGTCGTCATAGGTTGCAAGAAATGCGATTACTTTTTGGATTTCCGTTGTCCCACTCTACCACTAACGGTAATGCTTCCAAGGTACGATGATCATCCACTAACTCTATGTTATGGTGATGAAAAGGCAAGCGGCAAATACTGGTGTGATATCTGCGAAAGAGAAACAAATCCAGAATTTTGGTTTTACACTTGTAAAGATTGCGGGGTTACTTTGCATGTTTATGCGTAGTTGGGGATATCAGGTACGCCCAGCCAGGAGGAAAGGTCAGATATGATTATGAATTGCTGCCTAACAATACATCTTCACGACCATTATGCAAAAACTGTCGTAGTCGCTGCCCAGGTTCCTTTATTGTTAAACAAATCAACCTTGACCCAACCTTTTGTTCATTTTATTGTTATAAGAGTTTCAACTGGGACTTTGCCATAGAATGGTTGTTTACCACGGTTAAAGTCATCTCCCCTCCATGGGCAATAGGTGCCAATAGTTCTACGGCGGCAGTTAAAATGTTTCTAGATTGAAATAAAATCTATTAGATGTTTGTTTGGAATTTTCTTTTGTTGCCGCTATTCACCAAAACTTTGAACATTATCTACACTCATTGTTGCTGATTATTTTTTTATGTTTTCATTTGAGTTTTTGGTTGTTTATCATCATATAGTACCCAATTTTTTTTTCTTCATTTATTGTGATTCAAATTTTTTTAAAATTGACATATATTACTCAATTAATAAAAAATTGTGTATTCAACGTTCCACAAAAAAAAAAAAAATTGGTTAAACAATTATTCAGGTTTATATTATAAATAATAAAATTGGTTAAAGTGTTTTCAACGTTGTTTCAACAGAGATGTAAACAAGCAGGTGTGGCCTGTGGGTATACATATAGTTGACGTATACAGTATACAACGAAAAATAAATTACAGCTCACATGTTAAAAAAAAAAGAAAAGGAATGAGTTTCAAAATAGAACATTAAAAAAAAAAAATTGGTATAAATGTTAAGTTTTATATTTAAAATTTTGACAGTATACACAAGACCAAAAGCTACAAAACAGGAAATTTACAACAACAAACTGATTACAAAAGCGACAATGGAAAATGGACTTTATGACAAATAAACTTGCATAAATTGGTCTACGACTTGCCATCACGAGCATCCGTAAACTAGGCCAGACCTCAGAACCTTAGTTCGGCAACGTTATCACACTAGTTTTCCTTACAAAAGACTTCCGTAATACTTAGCCTTTTACCAAAGAAAAAAAAAAAAAAAAGACTTCTGTAATAATATAGGTTCGACCTTAACTCACGGAAGAAAGCATGGATACCTTACGTAATTATTTAGCACAATAAATAAGAACACTATACCTTAATAATGAATTGGCCTGGGCAACGACATTGACAGTTGCTGCAAAATAGTCATGTAGATCTATTTAGGGTAGCAATTTAACATAGTGTCCAGCCGTTCCTCCTGGTTTGAGATACCTGATATCTCCAATTTCTCCACGTACACAAAAAAGTATGCAATGTGACACTGCAATCGTTACAAGTGTAGAACCGTGTCTTTGGATTTATTTCTCTTTGGCAAATATCACACCATAACAAAGAGTGAGGGGATGATCATCATACCTCATCAGAAGCTTTATAGTTACTGGTAGAGTGGCACAATAGGACGGCTCTGATTTCTTTGATGCGTGAGTTTGAATTGTTATTACTAAAATATAAAAATATCATGAAATCTTATACTTTAAAACGATTTAAAATTTCATAATACTATTTTTAACAACACCAATAGAAGACATGTCGAATCAAATTAATTTAATTAAGTTTGATACTATGTAATCTTAATAATTTTTAAACAAATTCCAAAATAATAGGAAAACTTGAATTTTTTTTAAAAAAAATTTAAATTTAAAATTTGTCTAGCGGTGTACAGAACGTTAAAATATAACTTTTATTATAGAATTAATATAATAAATTGAAAATGAGAACAAATGCAGGTGGAATAATAACCTTTTAAATATATTAATTTAAACCAGTAGATAAATATTATAAAATCCAAAATTAGTTCTAAAAATAATGTAATCCACTGAAAATGTACCCGATCTATATCCAAACCCAATTAAATATACAATTTTGAAGTATTCAAATATTTAATTTCGGGTTAACTTCTAATGTTGATATGACCCGTATTCAGTTATGTATTTCTTTTACTATATAAGAGATAATAAGTATAAAAATAGTAGAGCTAATAAAATGTTTGACAAGAATAATATTAAATAACTTAATAAAATATTTAGTGGAGTAAAAATTAAAAATTAACTTTTCATAAATTGAATTTAATCTCATTTAATCCCTCAAATAAAACTGGCATAAAATATTAAGAAAGTGAAAAGTTAGTGGTAGATGTGTTGAAAATTTAAAATAGGACACCTAGATAATCCTTGAGCATAT